TCTGATAATCAAACTTTAACAGGAGATATTTTACAGCTCAAGGCCCGACACTTCGCACAGTTGTTAGAAATTGAAAATTTTACTGCATCAAACGGTTGGTTACGTGGATTTAAACGAAGATTTCAAATACGTCAATATGTAAAGCATGGTGAAAGCCGAAGTGCCCCTTTGCATACTCTTGAAGATGAACGTATGCGGTTACGTGAGATAATGGGAGAATATGATTTAAACGATGTTTTTAATAGTGATGAGACTGGTATGACTTATAAATATCAATACGCAATTATTATCAATATTAACAAGATTACTAATTAACTATTTGCAAAGCCTTGTATTGGCAGCTTGAACCTTCCAAGACATTGGCGGTGAATACTGTATCAGGTACCAAAAAATCCAAGAACCGTGTAACAATTTTACTTACATGTAATGCTACCGGAACAGAAAAGTTGCGACCACTTTTCATCCATCGCTACAAAAATCCACGAGCCTTACTACAAAAAAAGAAGGAAGATCTTCCTGTAGACTATTATTGGAATCATACTGCATGGATGCAGCATTCTATCTGGGATGATTTTCTGAAGAAGTTAAATAGACAAATGTCTCAACAATCACGAAGGATTCTTCTTCTTGTTGACAATGCAACTACTCATGTTAATGCGCAGCTGTCTCATGTGAAAGTCCATTACCTCCCTGCTAACACTACTGCACACTTGCAGCCATGTGATGCCGGCATTATAAATTCATTCAAGGTAATGTTATAAAGCTCAAGCCTGCGTCCTTGAATTATGTATTTTAGGATAAGCTTAATCTATTCTGTAGGCTCAATATAGAAGGCGTTTTGTTGAAAACCGGATTGAGACCTACGACCTTGCTCGAGAACTTAAAAAAGAAATTATATCTCTTAACATTTCAGATGCAATTGAATTTGTTGTGGACGCTTGGAAAAACGTCAGTCAATCAACGATTCAAAATTGCTGGAAAAAAACTGGGATACTTCCGATTGAATCTTCTGAAGCGGATATTAACACAGATCAAACTGATAACGATATGAATGAATTAGAATATGAATGCCTCCAACACCTAATTAATGAACTCAATACTAACAATCCAATGAATGCTGTAGAATTTGTTTCTTTCGATAATGACATACAGACTCGAGGAATGACGGACGAAGAAATTGTTAGTTCTGTTCAATCGATGTCTAAAGATACAGAGAGTGATGGCGAGGAAGAGATAGAGACTGTTTCCATAAAGAACGCGTTAGAAAGCTTGAATAATGTGTTCAATTTTCTCGTTCATCCACCCGCAGGTTTTAATTGCGATGCAAGTACTGTATCAACAGTACGCTCTTTACGAAAACAAGTGCTAATGCACCACATCAATAATAAGAAACAGTCAATGCTAGATGGTTTTGTTATCAGAATGTAGTTTGTAGTATCACCGAATCTTTTCTTCAATAAAACTGAATATCAAACAAGATAGATCATATCTTGTATAACGATTTTTTTTCGTAACTACTATGTTATCGCTATAAATAGAATTCTTGGTATTAACGATAACTCGCTATAACGATGAAAATGTGACCTAACGGGAGTATCGTTATATCCAGTCTTGACTGTACCTCTATTTCGGTGAAAGGTTTTCAAACCACTGGAGACTAGGCCTTGGAAACTCCTAGAAAACAACGATGCAGACATTGATTCATAGTTCATATTTAGTATGTGTGAACATCTGACAGAGCCAGAATTCTCAGTTTGAGACCACATTTGTCGGCACAATAACACATTTATCTCTACTCCAGAAAAATTTCGACGGAATTGTATACGGCAAACAAGTACTAGTACTGAAGGGAGGAAGTAGGTACTCATGTTGGATTTAAAGGAAAGGAGCCGAGCTAACAACGGACAAAAAATCAATCCTTAATCAACTTGGCAACCGCACCAGAAATTGAAAGCTAACCTTTAATTACGATAACATTCATACATACCACCTTTGACTTGCAGAAATTATAGTGGTGATTTAGTTTGCCCATATTAATGTAGCATAAATATTGGACGCCAATTTTGTAACAGTCATTGCATCAAGCTTGTTTGACTTGCAGTTCGGCGCCAATAAAGGGCTATAATTAGATAAGAACAATCGGGATAAGCATAAGCAATCATAACCAAGAAAGACGTTACCAATATAATATAAATTGAAATAACACTTAATAAACATTTGCAGAACAATTTGGGTAAAAATCAATAATAGACGAGAAAGCGCAATAAATTATTGAACGGTTTTATGGATTGTAAGTTAACGAGCATTACAACTTTACAGTCGGACAGGATCGTTATGATGTTTCATGTCAATCACTCCTTGATTTTTGGACAAGTTTAAACAGACAAAGAATCTCGGAAATGAAATAATTTAATTAACCTATAAAAACTTTATATCAGGTCGAATGGTAGGACGACATTTCCGGTCTAGGTATTTAATGGACGTCTAGCAGATAATATGTGTTACTTTATTGTTTAAATTCACCAAATAAAGGCATTTGTTTTGGTTGGGAGCGGAAGCGTGATAAACTTAAAACTTATTTTAAATCGTCAATGGTAATTGTACGTAATTTTAGATAATCGCTTTTTTTTTATAACAGAATAAACTAGCTTCTATTAAATGAGTAGGTATACATCGTCTTGTTACGTATTTAGCTAATTAAGTGTGTGATACTATCTTTGGTTCACAGTCAATAAACATTGTCTTTGTATTTTCCTTTCTTTGTTGTCGGACGCATACTATGTTAGGAAAGTTGACAATCAATACAAAGAAAATTTTAAGTTTGGAAAAAGTTTGACAATTCACACGCTAAAAAAAACCTTTACATTCAAGAATAACACTATAAAGATTAATATTAATTGAGTTTATGGTTAATTAAGTCGTATAAATTGGATTGGAATACTTGATTGGTATCTTGCAACGTGTATCCTATTATTGCTACATATATTGCAGTAGGCGCCCCAAGTTGCATAGTATTAATAGGAAACCAGAAAACAACCCACAACGAAACCCTGCTATTGTTCAACAATCACAAGATTAAACTCAGAGTTGTAAACGATTTATCACAGAAACCGCGCACACTTTATTTAATAAATAGTTGCTATATTCCATTGCTTTTCAACCCCCCTTTAATAATAGTTTAACAATCAGCTTATGCTCCTACAAAACCTGTTAACAATTTAAAATGTGCATTAATAAGAATTGGTCAATGTATTAAATGTCAAGTTTATACTATATTGAGAATATGAACTCGGTAGTCTTAACATTCTGTTCGCATCCGCATAGTCGTTCATTGAACCCTAAATTTTCTAACAAGATGCAGCCTGTGACGAATTACGAGAACGTCTTGTAAATTGACTGTATTTCTGCTATCGTAAGTTGTATTACAATCTTACGTAGAATTGTGAATATATTGAATAATAAATGTAAAGTCGGAAACATGGGTGAAGGCATAATGACAAGCACGTTTCGTTGTCTGTTTTTCCATTACTTTTGATTGGATAAATACATCCGTACAACACGTATGCGATTGTTGTGAAATCAAGTGTGTAACGTAGAAAGATAAAAGTTGTTAGAACTGTCTTGTCTGTTGACTGTTATCGACTATTGATGCGATAAACTTTTAGAGGGTTGCTGAACTACTAATATAGAATAGGAAGCGTGGATATGTAAGCGACAATTAGGGATTCGTATCAAATACAAAGAACGTAAATAGGTACGTTTATAAAAGAATAAAGACTTTTCTCAGGGCGTTGTTTGTTGGTAGCACACGTTTTCATTTGTTCCAATCAAGAAAGTTTAGCACAAATCAGTAAATGATTGTCAAATATGACGTTTTTATATAACATTTACGTTTTAACCCTTGACTATGAGCAATTTCATTCTTATCTGGATCGATTCAGACAATGAGGAAACCGAGGCGTGTGCAAACTATCGACAGTTGCTAACGTTATTCTTGTCTACATGTTTCTGAACGTGATAATCGAAATTGATGCGTTTTTTTTGTATATACATGTTGCATGGTCAATTGAAGGTGGTTGCATTATTGCACATTGCATATTGCATATTAGTCTGTATACTAATACTATTCTGTGATCATTGATGCATGAAATCGCACTAGTCGCTGGTTCCCCCACCCCCGAAATCAAGAATTTTCTCTATTTGTTACACACGATTGTATAGACAATAATTTTGTATTTACCATGCTAATACTCGAAAAGAAGAAAAATCGTAAAGCTATTATAAAATTTTTTGAAAAAACGCAGACAAAGATATCAGAAAGAAGCAAATCTTGTGTTTTTTTTTTTGCAAAATCAAAACGCTAACAAATTTAATATTAGCCGCTTGAAAACCAGTAGACCCCGGTAATGATAAACCAACTTTGATTCTGCAGATGTTTTCCTAATCAATCTTCCCTCTAGAGATGTATGCTTCTGTTCCACAATCAAATAAAAACGTCCAAACTAAAACATTCAAACGCTAATGAGATGAGATGAGATGTTTCGAATTTCGCCGGCGCCGACTGTATGGAAAGTTAATTAAATATACAATTCGGGATAAAATATATATATTGTATTGCATTTAATGTTTTATTTATACAACACTTTATCTTGTATTGTAAATATTCGGATAATTTTCGTATAGAAAGATTTCTCTGAAAACTAAATAATTTATTTAACCAGCGTAACTAGTATCGTATAGATGGCCAAGAAAAAGAACATCTGTTTTCCATAAATATGAAAACTAAATATTACCAAATCATTAGCGGTTTCAGCGTGACATAATTGGTTTGTCTTAGAGTGAAGAGTTATCTGGAAACATATTAAAGAAAATTCATGTTCGATAGACCATGGGGCCGTATTTTTAATGTAATTATTATGCTGTCTGTATATACAGTCGTTATACAAGAATTAAATATAGATATGTTTATTCATCCCTTTTCATTGATGCTATAAATTTACATAATTGTATGAATTTACTTGTTACATTTTCAATAACAATCAAATATTAAACTATATAAATAGTAGTCCCATTCAAACTATAATTTATACTTTGCCTCCTCTTGCAGAACCATTTTCAATGCTAAATTTTAAAATATATTATCAACATACTATTAGTCGTCTATTGTTATTTTGATTACCATTTAGGTATGTAACGGGATGGGGGACTTACCCCAAATTTCTAGAACCACAGAACGTATAAAATAAACACCCGTCTTCGATATTATCTCATTCACATCCCAACCTGATATCGGGCCCACTTTTAAATATTGGGCATCAAAAAACAATTACCAACTTTTTGTCCACACATTCTCTTAACAGCAAGGAAATAATGCAACCGAGTCCACTTCTCAACAAAATCCTGCACACTAAAAGAAGGCGCCGAATGCGGCATCTTGGACAGATAGTTGCTAGACGCAACCCGACATCTACCATATTCAGAACTTGCCACTGCTCTAAGGGCAAGCTAATGCGTCTTCGATCAACAATTTATACCGTTTATAACATTTTTTTAATCGAGTTGTCCATTGACGATATCGACCGAGACGGGAATTTTGATCGACGTCTTTTAAAACACGTCTACATTACGTGGACGTCTTACGAACATAAAACAACGTGTGCTTTTTCTCAGCACGATCTTTTACCACCCGCATAAATGCTAAAAGAAAAGAAACAACTCTTATAACACAACGACACCAGGCAAATTTGTTTTTGTTAGAATGCTATTTCTCACATTGAGTTTTTCTTTTGCGTGCTGTGGAAAATTAAGGTGTAATTTTACATTCGGCAATAATTTTGTTGTGTTTTGGTTTCCGCAATTAAAAGATGCTTTTCAAATGCATTGAGATGATGAACCGGAATAATCTTATGTCAGAAAATAATGTTTACTTTGCTAAAGAAATAATGAGATAAGTTTTTTTTCTTCTTGAATTTAATTTCTGTATGTTAACATATAAATTTATGCAACATTATATGTTTGAAAACTTGGAATTATTTGATATACTTTTCAATAACTTTTACGATTATGCCAAATATTTTTAACTTTGCCAGAGAACAAGATCTAAACTACATAATCAATACGTCTTTATATATACACTTGTAAACCAATCCAAGTTCTTGGACTTTGCAATTAAAGATTCTCGCAATATATTATTATTCAGGTTTTGTAAATAAAAGATTGCTGTACAATATGTCCTGTTCATATGCTTGTCATGTTGCAAGAGACTAGGCTTGTATTTCGTTAACTCATGTGTAATATATCTGCGGGTATTGTTGTAACTTGAACTACCGGATTTGTATAGCTCGGGTTGCTACATCAAACACAATTGATAACCCAAAATTTATTACACTTGTAGCAAAATGTTGGTAATAACAACCCGTTTCTAATAACTCTTATTATTAGTTTACGTTTATATATAGTCTGTTCTGATTGGAATATTTGTTATTTTGTAAATAAGGCTCAATAATCGATGCTATCGTCATTGCTGTATCGTTGTTTTGACTTTTGCATTCTCACTCATAATCTTTAGCCGGATGCAGCCAACAAAACAATCGTAAAGAACAATATTATACGTACAGTTTTTACTGTCATTTATTATAATATATTGATTATTTTGTAAAAATTAAGTTTTTTTCCGAATTACAAGTTATGTAGTATTGTATACCCAACAAATCAGATGTTCGGTCGGAAAAATTGGCGAGAGATCAAGCCGACTAATCCATAGAAAATGTATTAGAACAATCGAATTATTGTGCGACTGGCAACACCCAAAAAAAAAAAAAAAAATAAAAAGATGCAATTGAGAATTATGACGTTCGTTAAATTAACTATAAAATTTAGCGCTGCGGTAAAGTTAATAGATTGATGAAATGTGTGATCAATCTTGGAGCGGCAAGTTGTTCGTATGGGTGTTATATTTAAGTGTGGAAGAATAATCATCTCAAATACAGAACAATCTTTGTCTTCGTACCCTGGATATGATTATCTCACATAAACATATAATAATAATAATAATAAAGGGGTCTATTTAAAATGAACAATCCTTCGTATGCAAGTTACACTGATCGTCATACCGTTTAAACGTAAATAAGGGGGGCTGTTTGAAATAAACAAACCAATAGCAGGGATTCGGAAGTCCTGTGTAATTATCCCGGAATACCCTCGCACGCAGATTACTAAATATCTGATGTCTTGTCCGAAACATTCAACCAAAAATATATACCGAATCGTTCTTTTATCGAACAATAGTTTGTTCAAGTAACACACGTTATTGTTGCTATTATTACCAGATTAGATCATGTCCAAAAATATCGGGTACAAGTCCCATTACGATGTATGTAATGAACAAACCTTGTGACAAAAAAACAAAACTATTATTGTCTGTACAATAATAAACAAAAAAAGCATATCACAAGTCAATGATCTTTACATATTGTTCCAAAGTCCATTTAACAACTTTTATATGTATTTGCTATTGTGAATCCTTATGAAGTAAGCTTTTTATGGTATGAACTTCGACTGTATCCCAATAAAAGGGCCGGGTAATACGAAACCTTAATGAAAAAAATTTTCTTTTCAAAATTTTTCCTATCCAAAATACAAATTTTTTGCACGACTCTAAAACGTTATTATTTTTTTTTCGAAACATGCAATCTATTAGTTTCAGAATTTTATACAAAAAGTTGTATGTTACATAGTACAACGGGTGGAAGAAATTTTTGAAAGAAAGAAAGCTGTATCGTACCAACACGAAGCAAACTAACTCATAAACTCGGTAAGGACGTGCAGCTATAGTGCTATTACGGAAGAGGGCTGGCAATAATGTTCTCGGCTACGACGCTGTGCCAAGCGCTGTTGCAAGCATCTCGTCCTCCTTAAATGTATTGTCCATTCCGTCTCTTTAGCTGTTATGTTCCATGAATGAAAGGTTTTCGGACGTACTGATGCAAATTCTTTAACAGGATGCGTTTGTAAGTACATCGTTACCTCAAAGTTAGCGAGACCGAGGTTCAAGTTCAGATTATGGGCATCTTCGGATTAGCGAGTTGTTGTTATCAATAATAATAATCTGAACTTATTAAATCCCGGTTTACAACGCAAGTCCTTATTGTTATTTGGTTATTATATTACAACGTACACAAAATAATTCTGCACTTCCATCTGCTAACATGTGGTTATGTTATCTCGCATTGAAGTGCGAAAAAATTGACGATATGTAATAATTGTTTATTTTGCACCTCAAATACTTTAACCATTCGATGTAGCACTCTACAAGGCGGTGAATTTTGTCTCATATTCTTGTCAAAGTATTATCGATGCTTTCATTTCAGGACTTGCTGCACGTGATTTACCATTAAAATTGAGTCGCCAAAGTTTTGTTCGTAGTTTTTTGATTTTTGGGCTTACATCCTTCGGATTAACGTGAAAAATCTTCAGATTGAAATTTTCGGATTAATATTAACGAGATACTTTTATGACATGCTTTTCACATTGCCAGAGATTTATTATAAAAATTCGGATAAACAGGTGACTTATTTAATAACTGGAACCAGAATATTTTTCGGGTTAACGAAATTGATTATAATATGTTGAAATCGGCGTATTAGTTGAGACACGTGGAACATCTTCTGGAATATCTAATGTGTTTGCCATTTTAATATCAATACTTTATCCATATGTACCGCCTTTGCCGTTCAAGAGATACGTTAAAGTTATCCCGGGACAATGATGACGAGATTGCATATCAGTATTAGCATGTGTGTTGATGGATCGACAAAGTCACGTTAGTATCGCGCTTCATCATACTACGTCGCTACATGGCAAGAATGTGTACAGTATGATATGTTATTAGGTCTTGCATCAAAGCATCGAATCAACCTAACATTGATTATCGTGGTTACCGTCTAATCGTACAACATTCCTCGCATTCTCTCTTGGCGAATGCAACGACATAGTAATTATGGATCGAATTATATACAACGGGTATGGTTTGCGAAATGAATGAAAGAAGGATTTAAACATTTGTATTCATTAGTGGCTGTTTACATGTAGGCTCTTATGACCTGAAGGATAACTCGATATGCAGGCTTTATGCCCAAGGTCTAACGATATCAATCGGGACAAATGGGATCGGTCTTCTACGCTCGCGATTATTCAATAGTACAATCCCCAAGAAGCTTTACCACAAACAGAAACATATTTCACAAATCCAAGTAAGTGGTTTAGATATGTTAGTCATAATGACGCTCCCGTTTATCATTTTAATGTTTGCATTTCTGCACCTGTTGAAGAATCATCGCAGCTGTTGACATAGGAATCGGTCGTTAACAGTTTGCGAACTCTTATAAAGTGTCGAAATTGTGCGGAACAGCCTTGCCGGCAAATTTGTTCAGTGGTATAGGCCACAAAGAGCCGCGACGAATGCGATGGAGTACTTGGGACTTTCATACACGGATGATAGATCGCGAGAAACTTTTAAGCTGTTCTATACAGATGGTATACAACTTCACAATACCATCCAACCATTATTCTAGATACATACAATGATCAAAGCAAAATTAATGGCATCGGTATCCATTCTTCTTTGGATCAAGTTTCGGCTGTTCGAGTATTTGGGACTTGATCCAAGATTTGCACGAGAGGTAATACCTGGCTTTTTTTTAAATCTCTTCTGACACGCTTCCTTCCACGCAATCGTGCTTACGCACTCTATCTATCGTGAACACATTTGTATGTATCCACGTCCGACACTGAACGTAGAATGAACTATCGTCGTGGAATTTATTGCGGATCTTCTCGTCGGATCAGTCAGAAGACGCCTGTAAATCCGTACTTCTATTCGCCAACGTATTAGCTCATTACATTCTCCCAACCAACCTCTCAGCATGGTGCACAACTTTATGTTGATGCTGCCGATGGATTGTGAGATGGAATTCGAAATTTTCACAATGTCAAGGGTGTCTCAGTTGTTGAGGTATTGGGTTAGCTGATTTACAGTAGTTTTATATTGATGGCGATTATCTGGGAGACAGAATGACGGATTAGTTTAATGACTTGTGGTGATCTGAAGACACAACATTGAGAAACGTACTGACAAAGATTACTTTTTTTTTCAAAAAAATAGACTTGATGAACAAACCTTTGCATTAATCAAGTGTGAATAGAAAGAAACATATGTTGCTTCAGGAAGAGAACGTTGAATTCTTCCAGGTCAAAATTCTTAAACGTGGAGCGCGATGATCAACGAATGTGTCAGACGGTACGCGTGCAGGATTACATTCATACTTGAATCTGATGTTTACTAGCTATTTCCTCCCATGCTGATACACGATTGTCCCGCGACTATGGAATAGATACCCCAGATTATCTGCCAATTTTAGGTGCATGACTCATATAAGGGGAAGACAAACACAATACAACTGATTTGGACCATTGGATAACACAACGGCAGCTCGAAAATTTCACCTTTCCTTCTCGTGACAAGGGCGTCATATACTATATAATCCGAATGAATAACGGGTGGGGCATTGAGATTATTATGGATTAAGTACTCTGCCGTGACCTTTTTTAAAAAACGAAATTTCATCTGCTCTTTGATGCAGATAAATGAACTGTTTAACGTTAATAAAGTTCTCGGGATAAGTATTACGAACCAATATTGTAGATACAGTGGAGTTATCGGACGCGATTGTTGGCTTGCAACGAAACAAATCTGACTGATATAAGGCTTTGTTCTGATAATTTGAAAAGCAGTAGAATTACAGTTGAGCAGATCGAAAATTGGGAAGGTTATTTGAGAGGAAAATTCGTACTAGAATAATGTGATGAAAAGTGGAAGAATAATGGTGAGGATGTGGGATGGCGACGATTGCAAAAGCATGGGTAAAGCTGATCAAACGATGGACGAAAGACGAGGAGGTAGAAACTACAATGTCGTCACACATTTCCGTTAGCCGGGCATGTGAACGAGCGATAGAAGAATCGAACCTCCCAACGACGTTGCGACTGTTGTAATAGAAGGTAACCAGCTACAAGTATAACCAATCTGGATAGTGGCTACGTATCATCGAAGGCCTTGACGAGTTAACTAAGAACAAGCTCTAGAAAGCAAAGTTTGGCGGATGCATAGACTTTGATGGCTCCGCTAGTGAATAGAAAACAAAGGTGTTGATACGCTGTGTAGTAGAAACATGGTTAACGAAAACCGAGCAAAAACAGAAACAACCCTTAGAAAGTGATTTTCGCCGGCCAGCAATAATGATCACTATATTAAGATGATTGGATCAAGGTTCGTCGCATATGTACAATTTATCGCGCATTGAGCAAGAGGTTCCAGAAACGCGACTGTTCATCAAATTGTACAATGGGAAGACGATGAAGATACGCTATGCATTGGATGGAGATATGCATTAAAGCGTTGAATCGGGTCGATTATGGGAAATCTGAACTTGTATAAAGATTGACGGTTTTCTAGTACTAGCGCTTACTATTACGTAAACCCATAATGTTTACATGCAACACACCTTACGCCGAAACTTGTAATATCCATGGACTTGAAGTCAAGTAATTTATTCAACATTAATGCTTAATTAATCTTAAATACATAAAGACCTCTCCCCCTAACCTACAATAAATGATATCTAATGAAGATGACTTCCTTATAATACATACTCGTGTTGAATCCAAAACTTTGCCATTAAATTACTCAAGTTAAGGATTCTACATCACAACGACTCCCGAATTTTGGATATCCCAAGCGCCAGCTGTCTCTTTCTATTGCGAACTATTGTGAACCATTGTGAACTATTGCAAACATTACGCCTTGCTGACGATAGTCTGATCCAGGTCCGTGATAAGGATATTATGTTGCAGCTTCTCACATGTCTTTAAGACTGTTGAATCCGTTAGATTGAATGTAATCCTGTACGCGTACCGTCTGCCAGGCTCCTTGCCAGTTGCGCTCGGAAATGAAGGCTCGTCGGTCGTCGTTCCTTTTCCTCGGTACGCTCCTCCATCCGGAGGGCCGTCTACCCGTTCAGGTAGGATAACTTTGGTGTATACTTAGTTTGTATGGCTTCTCTGTGGTATGAGAGTCTTAAAGACCTCGAGAACGCCGCGGGCGTGTGTGAGGAGGGCTCTGTGCGAGTTTTGTGTGGAACCCTCCTCGAGGTCTTGGAAATATGTTGTTAGACGGAACTTGTACACCTTAGTGGACCGAACCCCACTTGAAAGTGGGTCTTTGCGCCGTGAAGCCTAAGCTCAACAGCCTTGTCGGTTTCCCACTCTTTAGCAAAGGTGTTTTCTGTCCGACATGTCCCGTTTACAAAGACTCGAGCAAAAAAGAGGAAATCTCGATTGACGCGTAGCGGCTGTAGGCGTTTTGTCTGTAGTGTTCTTGCCATAAAAATGTTTGAGAAAATTTTTTCGAGATTGTGTACCGCAATGAGGTTGGGGGGGTGAATATATACGTTTCCACCAATTTCCTTTTATAGGGGTAGGCTAAAGCGGAGTAGTTTATGCCACACAGAAGGTGCCACAAATTGACCAAGTGCCACAATCAGTAT